CTAAATCTAAAACATTGCATGACAAGTAATGGCAAATTAAGCAAATCATACCGACAAAAAACTTATATTATTATTATTATTATTATTATTATTATTATTATTATTATTATTATTATTATTATTATTATTATTATTATTATTATTATTATTATTATTATTATTCAAAAGGTTCTTAAAGAAACAGAGTGCTAGGGCGTGAATTAGATAGAACTGGATTGTTGTACCATGTAGTATTGTGGCTATGTACTGATGTTTCAGAGAAACAGCGAAAATATAACATAACACAGCAAACCAGAACACCATCATCCACATTCACAGCACCATGAAAACCCAAAGTTCTGAACTAAGATAGTTGAAGATAGGAAACAATGAAAATCATTATCACAACTAGATATTTGTTAACCAAATGAAAATATGATCATCTGCTCATCTAGGTAGGCAATCAATCAGGATGGAGGAAAGGAGAAATCATGCAACATTTTAGTTAGAAAACCACAAAAGACAGGCAGGCCAAAAGCACATTACAGTAAGGAAATGTACTTTAGCAAAATTAGGTGTGACAATGTTAAATGGACTGAATGGCAGGGGACAGTCTAAATGTGGGTTTTAATTATGTAGCTGTTGGTTAATTTATTTGTTACAATCACCACAAGTATTTATATATGAACATGCAAAGCAAATTCTTTTAACATACAACTTGGCATGTTCCAAAAAACACTGGATGAAGTTGTCTCACTTGTGCTTTCAACATGTCAACTGCATCAGCAGACAAACAACAGAGCATGTTGTACTGTGTACTGATACAAACCAGTCGATGACTAAGCCAATGGTCACACCCATGAACTTAAAATGTTTACTTTCACCAAACTCTGCTTAGTCAGCTGACACAGTGAAGAGAGAATGCTTGCTATAACTGCACCTTCATTTACTGCTCTCTCAAGGTTGCTGTGTGAGTGAGAAAGAGAGTACATGTGTGAGTTCATGAGAGCAAGAAGGAGAAAGACAGAGAGAAAAAAAGTGTGTGTTCAATGTATAAATGGAAGTTAAAAACAATAGTTCAAAGGAAAATCATGAAGAAATTTATAACACAGATTAATTACTGGTCTATTCAATTGTGTGTGATTTATGTCCTTCATAACACTTGTTCTGTTCAATCACTAAAAATGAAGAAGTCTGCCTGAAACAGTGCTGATGTGCATGTTCAGAAGCAGAAGAGATAAAGTAATGAGAAAATAACATAATGAAAACCTTCATGATACTCTTAGAATGACATGACATTCCAGTCACTTTCCATTACTTCATAAAACTGCCATTTAACAGCATTTTTAATCACCTGAGGAGAAAGTTTTAATAGTTCTTTATCATTACTGTTGTTTTACAATATCATTATAATAAAAACAAGGAAAATACAAATATATGTGCAATGTCATGGATGTAATTTGTCAAAGGATTAAATAAAGAAGAATGAAAAGGGTGAGAGAGAGTGAGCATAGTACAAGCAAGAAGTTCATATAAAATTTTACTTAAATATTCAGGGGAAAATACCACTTTTAACACCCTGGCATAAATGCAAAGAGAATGTGATGACAACCAACATCCTATTGGAAATTCAAGCTGTCACTCAATTCACTTACAAAGGAATAACCAAAAACTTCAAGCAGAACGAATGAAACACAACAGAGTACCAAAGCAACCTTGGGAGGCCCAAAGAAATAATGACAAGAAGCCAAAATATGGCCCAGTTCAATAGCTCCCATGAGGAAGACAAAGAAGATGAAATACCATTATCTTCTGGGATTTAAAATTTTGTTTTATACAAATCTTTCACAGCAAAAAGTTTGTAATGCTAATTCTCAGGTATAGCTCCAAATGTGAAGGTAAGATGATTACAAATGGTGGGTTATGAAGTATCCGCTAAGAGACAGTGGAGGCATATTTGTAGGTAGTATCGCAATACTGACCTAGAAAGACACAGGAAATGTGCAAAACACCTTCCTGCACACCTACATTATAATTGTATTACAATATGAAGGTGATGGAACTTCTATTTACAGATTTTAACAGAGGTATTAACTTATAGTGAAATCATTCAACAAGCACAAGAGATGAAGGTAAGGTAAAGTAAAAAAGCTGCACTATTTCCAGATAGCAAGCCAGTAATCAACCACTCTTGAGCCAACAAGCACAAGAGATGAAGGTAAAGTAAAAAGCTGCACTATTTCCAGAGAGCAAGCCAGTAATCAACCACTCTTGAGTGAATTGATAGAATATAGGACCTATTATTTTCAGACAGAATAGTATTATGCAGACTCTGTAACTTGTCTATTGGTTTCAGTCTTTCAGAGGACCACACATCCACATAAATTGATATAATAGCCTCAAAGAATACATAAAACATGATAAAAGCTGGTAGAAAACAAACCCAATATTAAAAAAAATATTTCTACTCACCATCCCAAATACGAACTCTCTTTGGCATCATTCTATAACCTTCTGTAGTTGCTATATTTTGATGCTTTTGATGTCTTACATTATTAGCTGATGCACGACCTCTACTCAGTTCCACGCCATTCTGTCCCAGCTTTGAATGAGCTTGATCTTCATTCTCAAATTGTGGCTGGCTAAATGTTTTGTTCTTAATGATTTGCACATTATCTCTCTCATAGTCACCTGTATGCTCCAGGATATTACTGCTGCCACGTGTCTGAGTGTTAACACTTTCATTCATTAAATTCAAACTGCCAATCTGTGACAAACTATTTTCAGACATACTCCTCCTATTCCTCTGTTTACCATTAATATGTGGCCTTTTCCTCTCAGCTGTTTCACTTCTACTGCTTTCTACAGGAAGTGCTGTGCTATTTGGCTGCATTTGCCGATAATTTCCATAGTCATATGATGATACTGCCCTTGTTGTCGATGTTACTGTCAGGATGTTACTACTGTCATCTATCTGACTGTTAACACTATCATTCAATGTACTCAAACTTCCAATTTGTGAAAAACTACCTTCAGACATGTCATTCTCATTTCTTGGTATATCACTTCCTACAGCATGTGACTCTTTCTCAGCTGCTATATTAATCTTGCTTTCTAATGAAACTGCTGCATGTTTAGCAACAACATTGCTCCGTTTCTTTCGCTCGTAATGTCTTTTAAATATAGATTTCATTTCAGAATAAACAATATTTCTCAAACACAAGAAATTCTAAATATGCACCACCAACTATTATTTCCTACTCTTACCCCACACCAAACTGTTGGTCACTTGATGTATTTTCATGTAACACACACAGCCTAGTGCTAAAAACTGCATCCAGCAACCTGTGACCTTCAACGATTCACACTTCTAAAGTATAATAATTACAAGGCATGTGACACCTAACAAGCAAACAAACCATACCTTGGCTCTGTTCTCCAACTGACTCTGGTGGTGTAGGATAGAAACTACCTTTATCTACATCATCCTCCTTCTTCTTACTGATAGCCTGCAACAACAGTGATAAGGAGAATATTACAACAGATAAATGAGATAGAGATAAAAGTGTGTGCAGTGTTAACAAACTGCAGAGACTGGACAGAAGTTTCCTGCAAGCTGGGAAAACTAAAATAATCCAGCTTACAAACATTCATAATACAAATGTGTATGAACTGGTCAGTTTTTTCACATCTGAATAATAAAACTAAAGGTCATAGAAGAATTTCTATTACAAGTACCTGAAAAAATGTTTTAGAAAACATATTAGGAATAAAGAAAGAAGGCTGCAATAGTAGCTTTGTTTATTTCATTAAACTTTCTAAACTCAATGGTTATATAAAGTCAACTAGTAAACAAGCAGATTATGGTCTTCTGGGTTGTGACACTATGTTCTTGTACATGCTTCCCCCTCATTTCAGAGGAAATTATCACTTCCAACTACAAAACCAGTCAAAATTTTCTAGACAACATATGTATATTTTTAATGTAAATTTATTTCCCATGACCACACACCATACACAAGTTATTTAATTGTAATGAATCAACCACAAATCACTGAAAATTATATAATGATAATTATGTAAAAATACAGGGGAGAAAGCAGTTGTGGTCTATTTTGAGGTACTATCACAGCATTCATCTGTAGGAATTAAGGAAAGCTACAAAATGTCTAAACATTGGTAACCACCAACAAAATTAACAGCATCACAACCTAGAGAAAACAACAGTCAACGTGAACTGCTTCCAGTACCTTTTTTTTATAAGACAACTTATACAAACTGATTTCACTACACTTTTATAGGAGAGGAAGACTTACATTACATATAAATGAAAACATAATTGGAAACTGACTGTACATGTGATGCCACTGGAAGTAACAAACCACAAAACCTGCACTCTAATCATAAGAGTGGACTGACTATAGAAACAGCAGAGCCATGTTCCCCCCAAGAGATTATAATTTCTACACATTTGCTAGGCTAACTACACAAACACATTCCAAGAAAGGGAGTGGTGTTTTGTTCTTGGAAGCCATTGTCTCACACAGTATGTAATAATCTCAAATGCCCACATTCCATGTTTAATAGTAAACATGTCATTCACCTAGCTGACTGAGCAGGAAGTTTTGTTACCAAATCTATTTGTTCTTTTACGGTAGGTAAATAAATAGTGACAGTTTTTCTGGAAATACATGGATTCTATGATTTTAAATGAATGTCTCTGTAACCAGATACCACAAACAGGTCATTGAACTGTTCCATTTGTACTACAAAGATAATTTAAAATTAGATGAAAGGATGATAAAAGAAAAACTGATCTCCCCATCTGACACTACAACCATAAAATAAACAATCTCAGTACCTGTTTCATTCAAATGCTGTATAATGTTATGCACTCTAACATGCACCAACTCACCATGTTAGCAGATGATGCACACAATCAATCTTGACATTTCAGAGACCTCATACACCAGAACATAATATTTTCTTTGTTTTGTTACAAGACATGATTTCACTGTGCATGACAGACATGATAGAAAGTTCAAGTCTTACCTGTGCAATAATAGATGCTACCTTGCTGTGATCAAGGTTTACATTGATGCGCCTGTCTTTCAGGTGGTGTGGCGTGTCCCGACGATGCAGTCTGTTTGGTCTTGCACTAGCATCCTCCTCCTCTTCCACCTCAAAGCCAACATGCTTTTCAGTCTCCTCATCCTCCTGATCTTCATTTGCATCTTCATCAACCTCCATCTCACTTGACTCTTTCTCTTCACTTCCAGACTCCTGAGCTTCAGAAGCCAATTGGTTCTCAGGTTCTGAAGATATCACTGTGGCTGGCGCCTGAGTCATGATGACTTGTTTGGATGGAATTTTATTGCCCACCTGAGAAAAAGAAATCATTTTACATTCGCTGTCCATGTGTCATGGCTTATGTAAGATCCACTTCACCAAGCAACATATTAGCATACCCTTTTATTGTTAATACCAGAGATAAAGCTGTCTAGCAGCCACACAGTATTGGGATAAAGCTCATATAAATGATATTTAGTTCCTACCACAATGAAAACATATCACTTTTCCATTACAAAGATCCACTAGTAAATGATGTTAAAGAAAATAATCGCTGATTATCCTGAGAATCATACAAAACCCATAAATACACTTTGTGAGGAAAATTCAAAGTTATAGAAAGCTTCAGATCAGACAAAGTTATAGATTGTCATAACAGATGGAGCATATAGTACCGGTGGGATTTAAGGTTTAATGTCAGCCTCAGTACACATCCTGCTTCACATATAAGAATCCCTTTCCAAACAGAAATTTTTTTCCAAAGAAATTTTTTTAAGAAAAATGTTATTCATCAATAACCCCTCAGAGTCCTTCTGAGGCGGCAGTTTTATCATGTGTCACTGCCTGACACCTACACTGCAGCAGTAAGCTCCAACTCAAACCAAGAGTTGTTTTTGATGTAAAGTAATTCGTCTAGTATGAAATCAAAGAGAAAATTCTGGCCTTTCATTTCATAAATGTGTTGCCACACTTTCCTTTTACTGCAGCTTCATTAAACTTCAAATCTCTCAAATAGTTCTCAGTGTGACCAGTTAGTGTGTTACAACTGAGCCATAATCTGTCTATATTGAAGGGAATTCTTATAAACTAAATGCATTAAATCAATATGAATAAAACTGAGATTAGCTGTTTGTCATTTGCATGCTGACCGAAATAAAAAATTTACTTTGCTGAGGGTTTATAGGCATTGTTTCATGGTCCAGAGTGCTGCCTTTACTTAAGTATTTGTAACCACAATAAATGGCTCATAGTTTTTATAACTTGATCTTGACCTGTGATCCTGAGTCACAAGGGTATAATGAAAGACTTCCAGCCAGGCAGGAAAGAACAACTACTGTATATAAATGCTTCCGCTTTATAAATCTACATTATGCAGTTGGCACAAAGAAGCCAAGGCCTCCTAATATCAGAAAGTGATGTGATGATACAATGGGAGAATGTTCGCTTGTTAGTGAATCTCAATTTTATCAGATTCAGAATCTGATAGTGACAATGTAAAGGATGACTGACTTTCTTCATGTTGTGGTTGCAGTTTATTTTTAAAATTATGTAGTATCAAATCATAAAATTGGTAATACTAACATTTCTGACAAATTAAACAAAAATCACCATTTTCAAATACAAGACATTAAATACTATACCTCCTTTGTGTCATCCACATCTTTCACAGATGTGTCCATATGTGAATTCAGCTCACTCAGAGGTAGTGGCTCCATCTCAGAGGTCTGTTTCTCTGGTTCAAACTGAACTTTACTGGCATCCTGTAAACATATATAAAACTGTATGCAGCAACATTGCTATCAAACTCAGAATGCAAAAGACACACATCAGTTCACCTCTTTATTTACAACACTACTACCATTAGTTTGCATAAACAGATACCACCAATGGACAGCTTTTCTATGATAACACGTTACCATATGCTCAAACTGGAGGTTCCAACCAAACAGCAGATGATGGACAAAGTCCAAAAAGCCACAATTCAGATGGTCTTATTGAACTTTATCAATCTGAACTCTCATCTGTCCTTTGTTGTCAATGATATCTTATATTTGTTCAATTACCACCATTACTTCCATTGACTTTGCCAACATCTCTCACTCGTATTGTGTGAAAAAAGTTTTTCCTTTGTACAAGAAATTAGCACTAACTGATTTTATACTAACATAGACTTCAGATGCATATATTAGTTCCTACATTTACCAATTCTGTATTTATGTAGTCTATAAACAACACTTGACAACTTGGAAATGTGGGTCTTATTTCTCATAGATGGACCTGGGGCCAATATAACAATAATGAATTATATCTCCTGCAGATAACAGTCATTGACTACAAGTTTTATTTACAAGGCATTTTAATTCTGTTACTGTCCAGGTTTGAGACCAACTCTGCCAGGAAGGCCCTGTCCTATTTTCACCTGACAACAGAAGAAATATCCAACTTCCTAAACACTGTAATTTTATAATATTCAGATAATGGATGAAGCCCAAAATAACAATTTAACACAATGTAATAGACCATCATCACAAACCTTCAACTACGTATATTTCCATTGACCAATTAACTTATTAATGTATAACTGGAAATATAAGTGCACAAAAATGTTTAATCTGTTGAGCACCATATTAGTTCCTCAGTAATTCACTTACCAATTGTTCTGCAGCAGCCTTTCCATCAACCGCCTTTCCACCAGCAGCCTTTCCATCAGGAGCCTTTCCTTTGCCAAATAATTTAAATGCCTTTGCCTTCAGTTCCTTAGGATGTGGTGTATTTTGCCGAACAAACGGTGTCTGCAAATACAATAAACTGCATGAAATATGTGTGCATGTATATTTTAAAAAAGAAAAATGTTGTCGTTAACTTTCTGAATCATTACAGAAGCCACGACACAAGGTTTCTGTATCACTCTCTCACACACCACTAAACATGTTACAAGATGAGCACTAAACATTTAACATCAGCCACATGATTGCATGACATATTAATTCAGAAAATAAGCACCATGGTATCTTTTGATTCAAAATGGCTGACTGGTACAGACAGGGAGAATCACCAAGCTACCTGGTTGTAAACGTAGCAACCTATTCCACTCAGTAATTATTGAAACTGCTCAAAAATGTACAAAAGAATTATTCTTCAGAGAAATTTAAGGACATGAAAGTTCAGTCTTAAATCAACCAGTGACAAGAGAATACAGAAAATTTTCATCCCAATAATAAGTCAACCTAGAACTCGCACCATTCACAGGTGTAGAAATGGCTACAACCTGGCTGCAAGGAAAAAATTGAATATAAATAACATTACTTGTGCCTGCGTGCAATAATAAATGCAAAATTTGTTTTGGCTGTAGAATCTATGTGACTGAATATCAACAGGTGTTCATGTAACACTTTCCTGCCTACTTGCTTGGCCACCTTGAATAGAAGTGCACACTGCATACTTTCCATTTGAACTACTCCTTGATTTTCAGAATGTTTGCACAATGGTAATAGGTAGATCCTGCACTCACATAGCACACAATTCAAATCCTGGCCTTATCTGACTCAGGTTCTATGTGGTTCATTCTCAGTGGGAAGATCTTAATTCATATAAGTGTATTTCATAGCTGTCAAGATTAGGGCCAAGAGTTTTCAACTACTTCCTGCTCAAAAACAGAAACATATCGAATCTCAACTCAAGCTGCAAATTCCTTTATTGTCACCACAACTCTATGTCTAATGAACCACAGCAACATATGACTGAATATGTTCATTTCCCTGCAACCTGAAAGCCTGTATGCTGCACTGATATACCCTCTGAGATTTGAGCTGGGGCTCTTGTAGAATTACAAAACACACTCATACTACTTACCTCTTTGTTCTGATCTTGGTCCAGATCATCGGTAAACTTGACAGAATGTGTCCTTGAGGCCTCTCTCTCCTCCCAGTCTTCGTCATCACTTTCTTGCTGACAATCTGGCGACGAGACAGAAGCTACGTTAGCTTCACCGTCACTTGCCTCGTTAAGATTCTCGCCACTAAACTTAATACCACAACGATATAACCGTCCATCATAAAAAGCGTCTAAAACAGAAAAGAGAGAAAGAGCAAGGAACACAAACATGACCAAGCCTTGCAAAGAGAAAACAAAAGCATTCACAAACAAAACATGTAAAACATGCAAAGCAGTTTGACGGAAGCAACAAAGCCGCTATAACAGTACAACAAAACCTCAAGAAAAGTATTACTATACAAAAGATGTATAGTATACTCCTGACTGTCCACATATCAACTGTCCATGTATGTTTCATTACCTGAGTTTATAAAATCATGCATTGTCATAATACACAGACGGTTGTAAAACAGAATCTCTCCCATTCTTCACATTATGGAAAACTACAGTTTCTGTCCCATTCATGGCAGATGATTTTCACACTTTAAAACCTGTTGTTTTGTTTTAGCCCATTGCACTTATGGATTGGTAAGAAACTTATGAGTTGCCTTTTATGAAAGAAGTAACTGACCTCCCATTGACAACCTACATGGCTGGTAAGAATTCTGATTTTGGGTTTCTCCTCCCCAGTACAAGTGACCATCATATACAAAAGTCCCTTCTATCTGTACAACATACTTCATACGGTTACTTAGCTTCAAGCTACTCAGCATGGGAAGCGTTGCCAGTAACAGTTTCACCAACAGCACATTTCTCAGCTCAATTTGAGCATGCAAACCTCCATTACAAAAAAAGTAGTCACCTTTGAAAGGTGATACAAAAACGTAAGATTTGAGGTTTTCATGGTGGTGGGTCTGAAGATTGCTGTCTTCTGGGTTGCTGCACCATGTAGTCTGGTAGATGTTTGGTATACATCTACCAGACTAAAGGGCGCAACAACCCAGAAGACGGCAATCTTCGTGATGTGAAAACTTTATATTTTATTTTAAGAAGGTTTATAACAACAGACAAACAAACAAACAAACAAACAAACACCTTTCATGTTGTGCTGTGTGGAGGCACAAAACAGCAAGGTTAAAATACAGATGGAAGTGAAAATGTCCTAAAGATAAATAGCTCTTCAACATGCGGGAAAAGCTGACTAAAAATGCCTAGAATAAACTAAAATGTGCTACCAAGGAAAAAAGAGAGTCATAAACACTAATCCTTTAGTTCACTATGGCATGATTTCAAATGTAAGCAGCAGCATCCATAATCTGATGCAAGATTTCCTCTCTCATGTATAAACTTTGGTCCTGGAGATCATCTCTTCCACTAGACCCCACAAAATTAAATCAAGTGGAATTAAGTCTGGAGATTTCAGTGCCCAAGGTATTGGGCTATGATGACCAAAACATGTGGAGGTGCCCAATTGTGCTGAAAGAGAATTCTGCACCTTGTCTCTAAAGGCACATCCTGCATTAATGGCTATTTGTTCATGAAGAAGTGAAAATCAGCAGTGGTAATATCTTCAACTGAAAGTGTCAACAGCACTGCCATCTACTTAAATACACAAGTAGGCATTTGTTATTTGCACATCTTAAAATGTCTATAGCTCCAAAATTATTGGAAATAAAACCAATAGTGTATTAACATTCTTTACCTGACAGTAATGCCTGAATCTCCACCTAAAGTATGGCAGAGAGGTTGAAGAATGACAAGTATCATGTATATTCTTAAAATTAGATACTACATGAATGACCTGAACACACGCATTCTACATTGCAAAAAATTATTTTATAAAATGAGAGAATATCTTTTCCTCACTTATTTAGAATATATTTGCTGTCCACTTTAGCTGTGAAGAAACTATTTAAAAGTTCCACATACTATAAACCTTAAGAAAAATACTGAGACATGCTTCTTGTTTATGGAGACAATGCAGCATCCAAAGAAAATACTCCCATAACAACCATGCATTCAGACCTTAACATGCTACTAACAACACGAATGTTCAAAGCTGAAACAACATACAAAGAACCCAACTATGTGAATTTAGATCTACCAAGGCAAAAGGAAATCACGGAATAAATTTAAATGGCATCAAGATCTTAACAGACGCATTAAATGTCACTAACATTCACTCACTCACTCACCCACACTCACTCTATGGTGTAGAATATTCTTTGCAAAGTCGATTGCATACTGGGCTGTCAAAAAAATAGCCCACGTTCTTCATGAAACCTGAAGGTTCATCACTGTGTTCACAAAAGACCACCACCAGACTCCATCCTGAGCTAGCTGCATCCAATTTGCTTATCAATTCCAATCTCCATAAGGTCCATCTTAACATTACCCTCCAACCTACGCCTAGATCTTCCCAGTTGTCACTTTCCTTCAGGCCTCCCAACCAATACCACATAAACACCCCCTCCCCCAAGTGTGTCCCATGTCCCGCTCACCTCATTCTCCTCAATTTAATCATCCTAACAATATCAGGTGAGGAGTACAGGCTATGAAGCTAATCATTATGCAATCTTCTAACATTCAACATGCCAAAAAACTATTATCATGCAAAATGCAAGAAAAGCCAGTATACATTTGACTGAGAATGAATAAAATGTTTGAAGCAGTACAGCCAGTATGTTCTTATCATGACTTTAATAACAGTCCTATTACAAAACTGAAGGATATTTTGTTGTTGTTAGTAACAGTAGTAGTAGTAGTAACTACTACTACATTATGACCAATCAAATAACAACAAACAGAGCTACAGAACCCTCTAAATAAGTATATGAATTACATTCCTTTCTTAATAAGCTGCTGAAAATTCAGTGATTAGCAAGCTTATAAATTGATCAACTAGTTTCTGGTAGTTATATTTGATTGTTATCATATGGGAGTGGGGTCCGCAGTTGCCGCGCGGTCTGA